GTCGACGCGAGCACGGCCCCAACCGTCACCGTCGTTTCGACGTCGTGGACACTTTCTTGCCGCCGGATCGTCCACGCGGAAATCCGTCGTTCGGGTCGCGAATAAACCTCGTTCTAATTTCCCCTGTAACAACCATCGTCGAACGCGTTATTCGGGTTAATCGCTCGCGGTGGGACGTGAGCCGCGCGCGAAAGTGTGATCCGCCAGTGGTGTGCTCGTCTTTTGACTTTGGAAAAGCTCGCTATACCGAGAGACATACTGGGTCGGACGTACAAGGATCGAGTAAGTTTCACGATACGACGTGGCTTCGTGGTTACTTACTTCACAATTTCCATACGGTGTCCCGTCCATACGCTCGTGCGTTTCGAATTATGGCTCGTAACACAGGATGGATTGATCCTTTCCCCGTATTCTCTCGTTTGAGGAATCGAATTATCTGGAAAAATAAGGCGGCGATACCGTTACGATACCCAGTCGACGCGTCACCGCGTCCGACTCTCGGTCTGACTCGTGACCGTCACATTCTACTGTCGCGTAACGCGCTCCTTTACGCAATAGCCTGTGAAAAGATCGTAAGGGGTGGTGATCGAAAGGGGGGAAAATTACAGAGAGAGGGTTCGTTAGAGCATCTTTCTCCTCGAGAAATAGAGGGGACGGTTTAATGGTCGTATCTGAGCAGAGACAAACCGCAACCCCTTTGGGTCGCAGCGCAGCTGAGCTCGACCGGGCGCGACCCACAACCCTACATTCGCGGTCTGCGGCGTGACCTAACCTCAACTCACCCCACCTTGGGCCGAGCTTCGTTGCCACCCTCTCTCCTTCGAAAGGCTGGAACGTCGGAGAGGACGGTTTACGCACCGGTTTATCGTTTGATTTCATGCCAGTTCGCGCCTCGCAACGCATTCCTTCCGCGTCTCTCTCTCTTCGAGTATTGCTAGTCGAGCTAGTATAACCGTGGTCGGGAGACACGTCACGTTTTGCGCTAACCACTCGAGGTAGCGATGCAGAGAGCAGCCATAACTTTCGAATGATCGGGTCTGACCTTGGCAGAGAGAAGTTCCACGTTTATCACTATCAATGGTCTTCGTCTTCCAACGGTGACACTTTAATTAATGGTCATCGATTTAACGAGTCGAGGTTGGCATAGCTAATAATATTGCAACGATCGTTGAGGTAACAGTTTGATAAAATTTGTGGCCGTTTTGTGAATGAAATTTTTGTGATATTAGAAAGAAAATTATTTTCCCGGAAAATTTGCTCGAAAAATTTAATCGAGTTACACATTTGAAAGTGTTCAATATGTATATTTATATATTATTTAAATCGTTTTGAATTACAGTTTGCGTCGATATGTTACGGTTACGAAAACATCAATTTGTCGATCCAAGCAAGAAACGTAAACTACGAAAGACATTGACGAAGACGTTGGATAGAGAATACACGAGGAAACAATGGGGGAACACGTGTCATTGTGTCAAAATAGCTTGGCTCACTAAATTTAAATTGAATTATCCGTCGCGACGTATGGTAACGGCGTGAAAATTGAATTTACATCTTACGTAGTTGCGGTAGTGTTACGCCAAAGGCTGTGAGAACTATAGGCCCCTTTATCGAATAGTCTCGCCTCTTCTTCGCGCGCGTGTGTGTGTATAAAAATATATCCACGGATATTTTCGCGCGGCAAACTATTCCAATCGTTAATCTGTCCCATCAACCTTTGACCGATAAAACGCGTTATATCGTCGTGACAACTTTTTCATCCACCATACCGAATAAAATAACAAATATTTTTCCTAACTTAAAAATATCCGTGAATCTAAATCCAATCCAAATCACAATAAATTCAAATATCAATCAGCCAACCAATTTGCAATCAAAATTCGCCACACACACACACGCACACATCTCGAACACCTCTCCAATCACGTCCAAACGTTTCGATCGATCCCGTATTAATCCCTTCAATCCGCCTTTATTTACAGATTTATTTACACTCGAAGCGCGTCATCTTCAGCCGCCACTCTCTCGCTACTTCCGTTTCTCCACTGCCGCTTCGTCGCCTCTAGCCGCCCACTCGCCTCGTGAGAGCGAGCAAATAGCAAATAATAATCTTCTACTTGCGAGAGACAAAAACGCTCTGAAAAGGATCTTGAAAATCTTGTAAAAAAAAGCTCCTCCAAAGAAGAGGAGAAAAGAAGAATCGAAAAGAGCGAGGAGGAAGGAAAAAAGGAAAAAGAAACGAAGAGAAATAAGAGAGAGAGAGAGAGAGAGAGAAGATCGGAAGGAAAGAAAAGAATCGCGGAGGAGGGGAGGGTGGCGTAGAATCGTAAGTGGAAGAAGAAGAGTTGGGTCGTGAGGGGTCCAAAAAGCGTAGCGTTCGGGTGTGATGTGGTGGAGCCCCCCGAGGGGCCGCGGGGGCAGGAGGTTCGAGGCAGATCGGTGGTGAGGGCCCCAGGCACGGCTCGGTTGCCCCGCGGCGAGGTCGCCGGAGGGGCGGGGGACGAGGTAGGATGGTGTGACCTCCGGCGTTATCCCGCCCGACGCGGAGGTGGTGCTGGAGGTGGCGGAGGCGGTGGTGGAGGAGGTGGCGGGGGAGCCGAGCAGCTGCTGCTCGACTCGCAGGAGGAGGAGCCGACGGCGATGTCGAGGCAGCTTCGCGGTGAACGGGACCACGTGAGCCGTTGCGACCTCCGAGAACAACGCGACTTCCGCGACCTTCGGGACCTACGCGACCGGGACCCCAGGGATTTCAGGGATTACCCCAGGGACAGGGACATCAGGGACGACAGGGACGACGTGGAGAGGGTGCGGGACGATTACCTGGATTACGATCATCATCCTACCGCTGCGTCCACTTCGGCGCTCACCAACAACCCGGTGAGTTTCTCATTTTCCGTTTCCGCTTTTTTTCTTTTCGAATTTCGACGATCCCCCGCTGGATCGATCGTCCGTGATTTTGTACCTTCGCTCTTTTTTTTTTTTTTTTAAATTAATAACAACAGCCGGTAATTTTGCTGGACCAATGAATTCCGCTGAATTCGTGTTTTTCTTTTTTTTGAATTATCGGTTTTTTTGGGACGAGAAATTTGGATTTAGGATTGATAGGGTTCGCTCGTAGAGCAGAGTGGTGAATAGAGTAGAGTTGGGATTGTAGAGTTTTCGGTGAGAGTGGGTAATAAAAGGTGGGAAGAAAAGGGCCACTCGAGACTGTACAAAGGTCAAGGTTTTTGATACCACTGTTGGTCGGATGGTGATAAGCAGTGGGTATCATTATTACAGAAGTAGACTTGAAGGGGCTTGTGAATACGAGGTGTGAAAGGGGATGAGGTACTCCAGTTTTTGCATCAAGGTCAAGGTTTTTGGTACCATTTCTAAGGAAGAAAGTTTCTCGATGCTTGAAATTAATTTTGAAATCGAATTGTCAATGATTTCATTTTTTTTTCCCCTTTCTTTTTTGTATTTTTTATATTTGAATCACATGTACAATATTATTTGTACAGACGTGCACACGAACGAAGGAAACAACAGATATCGATTATCTAATTCGGGCACTCTATTTTATCTATCTTTCGTTCTTATCTTTCGTCGCCCATATCGAAATATTCATTAATTTTAAAAGTTTCACGAAAGAAGCGTACTCTCAACATTCCCAAACGTCCAACAACTCCAAATTATTATTTCGTACAAGAGCAATGACGTTATGAAAAAGTTAAAAGTCTATTTGTCTTTTTTCTTTGAAATTTACGTTTATCGAATCCATCGACGACGCATATCTATTCATCCTGTTTACGAAGTTCGAGTATACGGGGTGTGATAGATGTTGCACAACGTGCCGTCACATATGAAAATTTCCAGGAAGCAATATCCACGCACAGAGAGGGTGTCTCGTATAAACTTAGAAAAACACGTATATATAGAAATACGTGGAAGTGAATTGCGAGCATTCGTCTGAAACATTTCTCTTTGATATTTCGCCTACCATTGCGCAACGTTACGTTACCATTACGTTACCGTTTGCACGCCATTCCCGCTGTACTCTACAAACTTTCCATCAACCTCGGTGGTACTCGTCGATCGAAACGAATCCTATTTTCCATACCGCGTACCATTACCGATCGTTAATCTCCCTATAATTTATACACTTTACTCGAATATTGCGTTAGTCGAAAATTACGCAATATCGCGTTTTCGATAATTTATAGAGAGCTCTGTCCAACCATCGAGCGCGACGTGATTTATCATCGACGCCTTCTTTCTTTCTTTTTTTCTTTTTCTTTTCTTTTCTTTTTTTTTTTTTTTTTTATAAAAGAGGAATCAAAGGTACAGATATC